AAGGAATCTGGCACTTTGATCATGCTTACAGTTATGGGATGAATATCTTAGTGATGTAAACTATTAGTTCACGGATGTGGATTACCATAAATGTGATATTTTGTTGTTTTATGTTGTCTTTTTCACTAATCTCTTATTATGATTTCCTAGGCAACTGGCCAGGGAAAAGTGGTAGATCCTAACATCACAAAGTATTCAGTGAAAGTCTTGCCAGTAAGTCTCTAATTTTGTGTTAAAAGTTTTGTATGTCATCATTTACTTATTCATTTAAAGCTTAATGTTTCTCTTAGACTCTTACTCTGTACCAAACCATATACCGACACATGACCATTGTGATATATTTTTTCCCCCCGATGTGGTTTTATTTATCATGAATCCTAATTTGAGATGCCTCCTGTTTTAAATTCTTGATCACTTTTAAGTTGTGATCTTGTTAGTGTAATTAATGTAGTTCTTACCCTCAAATGTTGCTTCTGAAAGTTCTCATCAAGGTTTTGGCACCGTCGTTTACCACCTGGTAGACCCAGTATGCACCAGCCTGAGCCAGGTCTGGGTTTGCTGGTGTACTACACCTCAGGTCTTAGTGGTAAATGCTCTTTTTACTATCCTTTTTGGCATTGTGCCAACCAGTACCAATACATACTGATATATAGGTTCCAGCCTGAGCTGATTCTGGTATGGGTACTGTTACTGGTATTCTAAGCCATGTTTTCATCGCCATTAGATCGACTTTGTAAATTATGAAATTTGGCTTTAAGATCTACGAAGGAACCCCAAAAACGAAGATGCTCTCTGAATCCCTACCAAAAACTGAACTCCTATTAGCTTCCCCACTGTTGTTGTCACGACCCGGGTTTGATGAGCTAACTGTCCAATATCTCCATTTTGGTCCTCAACGACGGACCAAAATGCTTAAGCGGGAGGTTGATAGTAGTACACTCATCAGACCCTTATAAGCCAATCTTAGTCTTGCCCACTTTCGATGTGGGACTAATCAGGGATGTTACAATCACCCCCACTCAAAGGCTTGACGTCCTCGTCAAGCCCCAACATAACCCAGATCAAACCCTAGCATAGTGCATGTGAGGCGTAGCCCAGTGGTGGCTCCACACCGTGACGAGTCCTCTGACTCCGTCTACGGGTAGCCCTTTCCTTCTCGAGCCTCCTCACCATGCCCAAATGCTAAGTCGGCTCTGATACCATAAAAATTGTCACATCCTGATTTTTTTTTTTTTTTCATATATTTTCACACAGGCCAAATAAATAAACATCACTTTATTCATCATCTATAACCATTTATTACAATTCATTTATTCATCAAATTACAAATAGAAAAGTTAACTTCAAGAGTCATCCAAGTGGCTCTACCTAGCGGTAGAGGAATGTTCGCTCTCCACTGGAATCCGATTTAGTACTAGAGGGAGGCTGCTCTGAAAATCAAAAACAAAGAAAATTCAGCAACGCTGAGTAGGAACCCCAAAAGTCAAA